TAGTTGTGCGAGGAACCTCCAGCTACAAGACACTACTCGCAAAACTAGTTGTGAACGGCGTTCCACAACTAGTTTTGTGAGTAAGGAGTTCCTCCTCGTCATCGTCATGCTCCTCACCCTCTTCTTCTTCCTCCTCCTGCTCCTCCTCCTGCTCCTCGTCATTGTGCCCCCTTCTCTCCGCTTCGAGGCGATACTCACAAATCTAGTTGTGAACGCAGCTGCACAACTAGGAGGAGCAGGAGGGCAGAGGAGCAGGAGGAGCAGGAGAAGGAAGAAGAGGAGGGTGAGCAGCATGACGACGACGAGGCGGAACTCATTACTCACAAAACTAGTTGTGGAGCGTCGTTCACAATTAGTTTTGCGAGTTGTGTCTCGTAGCGGGAGGTTCCTCGCAGAATTAGTTGTGAAGCTGCGTTCACAACTAGATTTGTGCGTGTCGCCTCGAAGCGGAGACGAGGGGGCAGAATGACGAGGAGCAGGAGGAGCAGGAGAAGGAAGAAGAGGAGAGTGAGCAGCATGACGATGACGAGGAGGAACTCATTACTCACAAAACTAGTTGTGGAGCGCCGTTCACAATTAGTTTTGCGAGTAGTGTCTTGTAGCGGGAGGTTCCTCGCAAAACTAGTTGTGAAGCTGCGTTCGCAACTAGATTTGTGAGTATCGCCTCGAAGCGAGCATGATGAGGAGGGTGAGTTGCAGAAGGAGGAGGGTGAGGAGCCGTAGAGGATCTCAATGGGAATCTTCTTTCGCAGAGGATTTCAATAGGAATCCTTCTGTGGAGGCCGAACGCCAGCGAAAACCCTTCAGAAAACCAAACAAACAAACAAAAACAAAAAAACTATGATTTCTGGAGAACAATCGGTGGAATTGCGGTACCTACTCCGGCCGGCGGCAGAACGGAGGAGGGGGAGAGGGGAAGGAGGAGAAGAGGGAGTGGAGGGGGAGGAGAAGAGGGAGAAGGTGGAGGCGGAGGAGGAGGAGGAGGTAAAAAACCAAAAAAACCAAAAAAACCAAAAAAACCAAAAAAACCAAAAAAACTATGATTTCTGGCGAATTTTGGTCGCCAGCCGTTCCAGAAATTCTCCAGAAATCATAGTTTTTTTGTTTTTTTTGGTTTTTTTGGTTTTTCTTTGGTTTTTTGGAGGTTTGCTTTAGTTTCTGACGATTTCGATGATTCCGAGAAGGAATAGCACGGGGAGGAGGAGGAGGAGGAGGAAGAGGAGGAGGAGGAGGAGAGAAAGGAAGAGACAGGAGAAGGGAGCGGAGAAAGAAGATATCGATCGGCGGCCGCGGTAAAGACGAATATGTATGATCATGTGGGGGGGGGCTACCATATATATATATATATATATATACGATACACACACACACACACTATTGGGATGCTCGAGTAATCGCCCCACAACTATCCGAAAGAGCGTCCAGGCAGTCTATGAGAGCCCAGAGACGGCAGAGCAGGGTTCCAATATGGCCTCGGAGAGCCCCATGACGGCCCAATATGGCCCCAATCGACTTTCCGAAACATTCCAAATCGTGACCCGGTCGTTCAGGGAGACCGCGGTTGGAGGTTGGGTGGCCCGAAAGAGCCCCGAAAGGCCTCCAAATGATGCCCAAAACGCGTCCGGAAACCTTTAAGAAAACGGGAAAAAATACACACTGCCCCCAGATGCTCTCCAAGGATGAGCCTCCGCAACAAAAGCCAAGAAGGATGGGGAGAATACGCAAGGTAGGGCCAGAATAAAAAAAAATAAGCATGGATCAAATCTGATCATAAAGGCGATGCTGGGAAAAGGCAACGAAGAATTATCATTAAACTGTCGGTTTGAATTTCCTGCCGTTCCGCCTGCGTACCAAACTTCAAGGACCAAGGTGCATAGCGGCGCCAATGCAGTCTTGTCTGTGTACATATATGTGTATATAGTGAACGTGTTATGTTACCATGTGATGATACGATGGAATCCGAAATGCAAGTTGCCACATTTGTATGACGCGTGCAAAATAAATGTTCCAATCGCGTGTTTGACTGGTTGCTGGATACCAAAACAAAATTCACAAACGCATTTGTGGGGGCTTCACGATCTTAAAAAGGGAGTTCTCGTTCGAATGCTGAATCGCAACATGGGCTCGCAACCATTGATTGTAATGGGCTTTGAGCAGTTCAAATGCTACTCCCATCCATTGAATCGGATAGCGATCCCGTGAGGGAAGCCGAAGGGTACAAGTTTTTCGGCGGCCCAAGCTCAGGGGTTAAATTTTCCCGGCGGCGCGGATGTATCGAGCCGGGTTGGCCCAGGGGGTCCAATTCTTCCAGGGAGGTGGGCCCGAGACATCCCGACATTCTAAAAACCTTCAAGTCTACCGTAACATGCTATACCAAACCATTATATGATAATGTATGACAACTCCAGGAGGGGCCCCAGGAGGGGCCCTGGGAGTTTGGACCCTCCAAGAAGGGCCCTAGAAGGAACCCTAGTTTGGCCCTCCAGGAGGGGCCCGAGGGGGGACCCTGGGAGTTTGGATCCCTCCAGGAAGGGCCTCAGGATGAACCCGAAGGGTTTGGTCTTAGGGATCTTGGCATATCAACACAAGAACTGACAACTGTTGCGCGATCCCCAGAAGCGAAGACAATGTCACACCGTCCGGGGGCTACCAAGAACAAGACATGTTAGGTCCGCTTTGAATCGGAAGTATCAGACGCTCGCGTTATTTGTTTAAACAGCGTGCGAACGCACGCGCATCTTCTAGGCGTTGCCCTATGCGTGGGGCCAAATGGACCTCATGGATGGGAATTTTTGGAGGGGCCCTCGTGGACTGGACCGTGTGACCTTACAGCCATACTCGACCTTATATGTGCGCGGACCCAATGGGTGAGACGGGTGGGATCCTAACGGTGGGACCCCGTGGATGGGGCCACATTGGCAGGCACGCTGACACGCCTGCGTCTCGGCAAGGGTCGGCAGCTTCCTCGACTCACGCGCTTTTATGGCGGCGGGTGGGTCGCGGGTGGGTCGCGTGGTGGGTCGTGGATGAGTCGCGGGAGGTGGGTCGCGGGCGGGTCGCGACACGAATGGCCGTTCTATACTCTATCAAATTCAATCACACTATAGCAGAAACAGCGAGTCAACCTTCTATATTATCAGATCAGATGATCACATGGTATACTCGAATGTGCTCTAATATGGAGGCCCCCACCAGGGGGTCAACTTCCAGGGGGTAATCACCCGATCATATGGCATAGGGAGCACCTCCGAATTCCCTAGTGGCATGGTTGGCATGCCCCCCCCCCGCGCAAGTTCGGCAAAACCCCTCGCACTTCGTGGCCCTGTTGGGAGCTCCTCCGAAGGCTCCAGTGGCAGGGTTCACATGGCACCAACCAGTGTGCACACCCCTCACACCTAAGTGCGGTACCAAAACCGCAGTACTCACAGCTGCATGTGGTTGGGTCTTTCGTCAGGCCGTCAGGCGATTTTTTCTTCGACCCCTGGCCACTCCCTGGACATCTGCTGGGGAGCGTTCTGGCCATGGTTTCGAAGCGAGTCCGACCAACGCGACGAAAACTCTCCATGAGGTCCAACAAGGCAAAATATGTAAATGACAAAGGAAACAGAGACCGGGTAACGAAAACAACAACTTGTTCTTAACAATCCTGGCCGACCCGTCAATTTTATTCCCAACCATCGTGTAGTGGTAAGTCCCCGTTTCGAATCAGCAGCGCCCCGTGTTCTGGTCCTCCCAGTCCTTCTCCCCCTCCTCCCTTCTGCCTCTGCCCTGGCCCTGGCACACCACTGCCACGCCTTTCAAACCCCATAGGAGCTCCACAAAGCTAAAGCTGACAAATCCGCACGCAGGCGTGGGCTCATTTCGCTCGCCCCTGCCACGCTATTCAGACCCCAGAGGAGCTCCACAGAAGGCCTCAGTGGCGACGTCTGCATGCGTCTTCACCACCCGGCACAGCGCTTCGTGGCCCCATAGGGAGCTTCGATTAAGGCCCCAGTGGCGATGCTCGCCTGCGTCCGCCCCATCCACTACAGCGTATCGTGGCCCACAGGGGAGCTCAACCCGAAGCCCCAGTGGCGGCATTCGCATCCGTCTGCTCCGCCGAGCACGACGTGTCGCGGCTCCATGAGGGGGCTCCACCTGTGGCCACGGCGGCGACGCTCGCATGCGCCTCCCCCATCAACTACAGCGCCTCCTGGCCAACTAGGGAGCTCCACCGAACAGTGGCGGCGTTCGCATGCGTCCTCCCCGCCAACTATCACGCTTCGTGGCCCACTGGGAGCTCCACCGAAAGCCCAAGTGGTAGGGTTGGCATGCTTCTCCCCCGCACAGTACAACCTTGCGTGGCCCTATGAGGAGCTCCACATGAGGCCCCAGTGGCGACGTTCGCATGCGTCTGCCTCACCCAATACAACGCTTCGAGGCCCCATACAGAGAATCCACCGAGGGCCCTAGTGGCCGCGGCCGCATGCGTCTCCCCCACACAGTTCAAAGCTTCGCGGCCCCGTAGGGAACTCCACCGAAAGCCTCAGTTGCCGCGGCCGCAGACGTCTCCCCCACCCATTACAGCACACCCCTCACGCGAAGCGTGGCCTCATGGAACTCCACCGGAAGCGGTAGCCACAACGCCGTACTCACAACTATATATGGTTGGGTTCTTCATCATGCTACTTTTCCTTGAAGAAGGGGGGCGCGACCACCAAAACTCGACGCTTCGGCGATGCATGCGATGCGAATCAAAGAATCATCAAGCAAACCCAGAACGACACACAAGACGACCTGCAATCGGTAAACTCGTGCAGAGAACCTTGGCCTGGGAGAGACAAGTGGGACACCATCAAATGCATTTGTTCTGCTTCGGCTCGTGGCGACTCTCCAGGCCTCTCCCAGGGTGCGTTCTGACTAGGATTTGAAGCGAATTTAACCGCGGCGACGAGGGCCTCCCAGAAATCCCCAAACGGCGAAAGCGAGGAAAAGGTATGAATGTTTCCTCTTATTCGATCCTGGCTGACCCGGTACTGCCAGCGGCTGCCCTCGCGGACCACCTCGATCAGCTGCACGGGCGCCTCCTGCCTGATGGGCGGCCCTTGCAGCGCGCCGCCAGAGCCAAGCGGAAGCGAGCACCCCGAGCCGAGCGGCGAGGATCGGCGGTTCAAAGATAGGACCCTGAAGAGAGTGGCCTCAAGCAGCGAAGGCTCAGCCATGAGACGCGATGTCCCCTTCGTAGCCTGAGGGCCACCTCAGTCAGGGCTACATATTTGGAAATAACCCTTGTGAGGCCTTTGCAAACACGACTACGGGCTACTAAGCTCGATTCAAAGGCTTACGGGGCCCGATGAACCAGACGGAACCCAACAGTAAGCCAAAACCCGAGGGATTCAGACGGACTGTGCAAAATCAGGCTGCGATCGCCCACGCACATACAAGCGCCGATGCTAAATCAAACCTCTCTGGACTTGCATCCTAATTGATTCGAAGCAGTGAAGCTTAAACCATGGGATCTCTTTCCTCTCCTTAGGGCCTCAAGACTCCATCTCTTCTTAAGGCTCATGGGGGGACAAAGTAGCGATGCCGTGACCACCAAGACCTCTTCAAGGGTGCAGCATGGACGAATTCACCGAGGAAAAATCAGAAACCATGTGAAATCCATTCGCGATGACGCCCGTGACCGGCCCAGCCGCCCCCGCCTCCTTTGCCCCCTGGTAATTTCACAATTCGCGCCATGGCCGCGTGGGCCTTAACCAGCCCTCCCAAACGGCGCAGGCACGAGTCGCGACGTGAGGCCTCCCCCCCGCAGCCTCGCCCGTTGCTGCTAGTAGGTTCAAAAACGGCTAGGTTTCTTGGACCCGCGAAAAGCCGTACCAACTTTTGGCCTCCCCAGACGTCCCCAATCCACCCAGCATCGTGGCGGAAGCGCGACGAATGATTTTTGGCCCTCTGAGGTCCTCGCTGGGCCTCGGCCTTCGTAGCTCCATCTTTCCTCGGGGAGAACAGATGGTAGCGGACCGCATGCTTCAACCGCCAGCGTCGTCAAAATGCGAACGCCGCCACACACCTGAATCTAAGTTGGACCACGTATTGACGAGGCAAGGTAAGCACGGCACATAGAAAGCTGTTGCATCTGAAAGCCGTGTTCCTCCTCGACCCCGCGCGCGGGGCAGACACTCACAACGCCCAACGAGGAGGAGGGGGAGGAGGGGGAGAGCCTTCTTAGACTAGCGCGCTCCACTACTCGCAAAGAAACTACTCGCAACTGGCCTGGATCCGCCGCGGGGGATCTACGATACATTACATCAAAGCAGACATGAGTTTTTTCTGACGTTTGCGAGTAGGCACTTTGCGAGCAATGGAACGCTCTCGGTGACCTCTGAACTCCATCTTCGAACCGCCAAGAGGACCTCGAGCCCGTTGCCGGCGGCGCCGGCGGCGGGGGCTCCGCGCCGCCAGCGCGCGCGCCCCTCCGGGGCGCCGCCGCGGTGCGCTGCGGCGCGGGGGCCGATCGCGCGAGCGCCGCGAGGTTGGTCGGGCCGCCTGCCCGCGGCGCTGCCGCCGCTGCCGGAGGCGGCGCGCCAAGGGGGCGGTTGGAGGCTTCCCACATGAGCGACGATCACGACGACGACGAAGACGACGAGCACGACGATCGCGACGATCACGACGCACGCGCGGCCCTATGCGGGAAGCTTACGCGCCAATGTCCGCGCAGTGGGGTCCGAGTGGATCTTGCCATCGCTCGGACGTGCATGCCATTCCACGTGCACTGTCTGTCGGCGACTCCGAAGGGCGTGGCTTACAAAGGGTGTGGATGTAGGTGTCGGCATCCGAACCCTGCTCCCACCAACCTTCGATTCTCCTGAATCGACTGGAGGCGAAGGCAGGGATAGGATTTCGCCGCAGGTTCGACGAATCGTTGATCGGCGAGGTAAGGGCTCGCCAAGAAGGCGCGCCAGAGGGGGCGGTATGGGACGCACAAGGACGCCATTTGTGCGGCGGCGCTGGCAGGAGGAGGAGGAGGAGGAGGAGGAGGAGGAGGAGGAGGAGGAGGAGAACGTCGGCATTTGCCTTCGAGTTGGCTTGGGCTTCGGCCCCTCGAGCTCTCGTTCGATGCCCTAAGAGTTCGTTCTCGCGCGCTGGGGCGGATGTGGGGAAAAACGATTTCGCAGCAGACGATCGCATGGCCGAAGAGGCCATCCAGACAGCTTGATCCGACCCACATGATGACCCGAAGGTTTGGTCCAGATGTTCGGGTGCTGGCCTCGCCGAGAAGAATGCACACGTACGAGCGAAGAGAAGAGATGGTGTCGGAAGATGGCGCCGCATCACCGCTGCATCGACGATGCATCGCTGGAGGCTTTCCAGATGGGGTCCAGGTATAGCCGCTGGCTGAAATCCTGCTCGATATTTTTCGTGGGGCACCTTTGACCGACGTTTTTCCCGAGTTCAAAAACACAGCGTTCAATATTCCTTTTGCAGGCAGGACTTGGACCAATCCCCCGCCAAAGTAACAATGGTTTGGTTTCGCTCTCGGGTGTGCAACGCGCAGCGCCTCCACTTGAAAATCCTCTACTAATGTATTTCGGTTGCCAGATACCAGTTCACTGCAAGCAAGAACTTGACAGTAGATGAAGTCGGAGGATCGGACCGCATCGCCGATGCATCGCCGATGCCAGCGACGTCGGCGGAGAGCTCCTGGGGAGCGGAGGGCACCCCGAAAGCTCTCGACGAGGCGCAGCTGCTGGAGAGCATCCCGAAGCGAGAACACTTCCAAGACGCCACGGAAACGCCCGAAACGCCTGCCCCCTAAACAACAACAACAGCAACAACAGCAACAACAGCAACAACAGCAACAACAGCAACAACAGCAACAACAGCAACAACAACAACAACAATAACAACAACAACAACAACAACAACAACAACAACAACAACAACAACAACGACGCAACGCCTGGCTCTCAGCGTCCGTCTCCCCTTTGTGAAGAAGAACTGGCCGTCCCGACATGCCGATCGGTCAATCACGACATGTTAGTAGAACGGAAGAATATTCGAATAATGCAAACAACGTTCTTAGAACATGAATCTGGTATACTCAATCACGACGGTCTCAGCCACAAACGTTCTGAACACATTTCGTGCAAACCACTCGCCGCTGCTGGACCCTTGGCGTCCCGCCAAAGCTGCTGCGCCCGTGGCGTCGGCTCCGGCACCTTTGGAAAAAGAAAACCCACACAAACATAAACTTTTGGCGCTCCGCGCGGATTTCTTGGATCCGCGCCGGACCCCCCTCCCTGGCGCGCTGGCGCGCGGAGCGCGCCAGGGCCGGCGCCAGAGGCGCCGCTGGGAGGGCCCAGCGCGGATCCAAGAAATCCGCGCGGAGCGCCAAAAGTTTATGTTTATGTGGTTATTCTTCTTCGAACATCGGCTCTGGCACCTCTGAACATCGTTTAACCGATCCCCATCCCCACCAGCGTGGGCTGGGCACCACTGGCCGATTCACCCCCCTGGATGGGGATCTAGGCTGCTCTCTTTTTTCGGGAATCGGGGTCTTCTCCCCAACTGAGGTGGCGAGACGGTGGGGCTCGCGAGATGTGGATGAGGATGGGAGATTTATGACTACCTACCAGACCACCCCAACCCAACCCGAAGACCCGAATTTTGGGTTGGGGGGGGTATGGGCTCCACATGTGTTTTTTCGCTGTTTCCCGACACCCCCCCCCCACTAGAAATCGAGGGTAAATCTGAGCCTTCGGGTTGGGTTGGGGTGGTTTGGTGGGTGGTGAATTTAGGGGGGCTGGTCAAACGATGCCGCACCTCGCGAGCGCTGCGGCGGCGCTGCGGCGCGCGGCGGGGGCGCCGCCGACCTCGCCAGCGCCGCCAGGTCCATGGCTGAAGGCGCCGGCCTCGCGGCCTTTGCCGCTGCGGGCGGGCGCGCCCGGGGTGCGAGGAGTGGGGTGCGGTTGGCTGGCGCGCCTCGGAATCGCCTCTTTCCTCTTGTCCTCCTCCTCCTCCTCCTCCTCCTCCTCCTCCTCCTCCTCCTTCATCTTGTCCTCCTCCTCCTCCTCCTCCTCCTCCTCCTCCTCCTCCTCCTCCTCCTCCTCCCCGAATCTACGACGGTATGATTGTTTCAGCTGGCGGTCATCTCCGGATTTGGGCCCCGGGGGGGGCCGTCGTCGGGCCTGGGGACCGTCCAAGGGGGATCCGGGGCGAAGAACTGCCCCAAAGGGAAGCGGTCGGGCGGTCGGGGGCCGCGCAGTGAAAGAAGCACATCTGCGGACGTACGGGTCGCCCCTCCTCGCCCATCTTCATCCGCCGCCTCCCGTGTCGCTGTCGAGATGCGGACCTCCCCACTCTTGTTCCTCCTGCTCCTCCTCCTTTCCGTCCCTTCCTCCTCTTCCTCCTTCGCCTCCTCCTCCTCCTCCTCTTCCACATCCTCCTCGAGTCCCCCCGAGGCCGAAGAGGAGTCTTCGAAGGGTTACTCCGAGGTGCGCCAGGTTCTCGCATTGGGTAACTCCTTGAAGCGTGAGCAGGGTCCACTGGAAGAGTTCGAGGAGCAGCACGAGTGAGGAGAAAAACAATTAGTCTGGCAAAGGACCCAACCAGATACCCTTGTAAGTGCCGCCAGGCATGTGGGTCGAAAGGGGGGGGTCCCTCGAGGGCCGCGACACGTGGAAGCGCCACCGCCGCAGTTCCGTCGCCGCAGCGACCCCGACAATACGCAGGCGTGAGTGCCGCAGAGCAGGACCTGAACATCTGCAGCAGGCGCGATCGAGATGGGCGTGGTCAAGCATTTGAACTTGGACATTTGGGCCTTCGGGCTTGAAAAGCGCGGCAGGGGCCAGCAACATGAGCGTGGTCAGGGCGAGCGAAACGATGAACTCAGCGCTCAACTGCATACGGCTTTGTTCCTTTCGGCCTTCTGTGGGGCTCCTGTGGGGCTCGAAAAGCGTGGCAGGGGCGAGCGAAATGAGCCCAAGACTACATGCGGACTTGCACATGTCGGCCTTGTGTGGAGCTCTTGTGGGGCTTGAAAAGCGTGGCATGGGCGAGCGGGCATGGGCGAGCGAAATGAGCCCACGACTGCCTATGGGGTTTGGACAGCGGGGTAAGAACGAACGAAATGAATCAACAGCTGCATGAAGACTTGTTCATGTCGGCCTTCCGTGGAGCTCCTGTGGGGCTTGGAAATCGTGGCAGGGGCGAACGACATGGGCCCACGACTGCATGCGGACTTCTTCATTCGGCCTACTGGGCAGCTCCCAGTGGGGCTTGAAAAGCATGGGCGACATGAGCCCAAGACTGCATGCAAACTTTGTCATGTTGTCCTCCTGTGGAGTTCCTGCGGGGCTTTGAAAAGCGTGGCATGGGCGAGCGAAATGAGCCCACTACTGCATGCGGACGTGTACATGTCGACCCTCAGAGGAGCTCCTACGGGCTTGAAAAGCGTAGCAAGGGCAAACGAACTGAGCCCGCGACGGCATGCGGACTGTGTCATGTTGGCCGTCTGCGGAGCTCCCAAGGGGCTTGAAAGGCGTGGCAGGGGTGTGCCAAGGCAGAGGCAGGAGAGAAGGGGTACTTGGAGCACTGGGATGCGGGGCGCTGCTGACTCGAAACGAGGACCCAACACCACAGGATGATTGGCAAACAGAGATACCCACCATTTGCCTGTCTCTTCACCTGCCCGAAAAGACTTCCTGCCAGTCGGACTGCCAACAAAAAAATAATGGCGCCCTGGAGGACCCGTCCAGGAATCCTGTGAAGCGTCGTCGGGGGAATCGCGTTCGTGTGGAATGAATGAGAGGGGCCCCGAGGGGGGCTTCTGGAGGGGAGGCCTACGTGCCTCCAGGAGCCCACTGTCGGGGCTAGCAGGAAGGCCTGGATCCCCCTGTGGCCAGATTTCCCAGGTATGGGAACTGCCTGGGACCGAGTGCGCTAAGAACACTGTGCAGTCGCCACTCGGATCAATCCATAGGGGCTTCACTAATGCAATGACGTCGCGTTCAGCGGTTCATCAATGGCAGACTCGGTCATCCCCCCAAGGCGCGACTACGGCACCGCTCGAATCAAATTGTTGGAAGACGCAAACCATCTGCCTGCACACATCCCACTGCCTCCACGGAATCACGTAGCGACACCTAGATCATCGATCTCAGATGGAGACAGAACACGAAAGGAACAACGTGCATCAAAATGAGCAAACTACGAAACACCTCCAAATAAGTTCGACTGGCGAAGGACCCAACCAACTGCAATTGTGAGTCACCCAATTGTGAGCGTCGTCTCCGGTGGAGCTCCCCCACGGGCCACGGAACGTGCGAAGGGTGTGCCGACTGGGCGGCAAGGACGCATGCAAACGCCGCCACGGGGGTCTTCGGTGGAGCTCCCATTAATCAAAAGCCAAGCAACGCGCGAAGAATGTGCCGAAATGGGCGGGGGGGGGCGCGTACGGACCCTGCCACTGGGGGCTTCGGTGGATTTTCCCATGGGGCCGCGAACCGTGTGATGGGCATGCCAAACTGGGCGGGGGGGCGCATACGGACCCGGCCACTGGGGCCTTCGGTAGAGCTCCCTATGGGGCCACGAAACGTGTGAGATGTGTACCGAGATGGCCGGGGGACGCATGCGGACCCTGCCACTGGGGCCTTCGGTGGAACTCCCCATCCACGAAGCGTATCAGGGGTGTGCCAAACTGGGCGGGGGGGCGCATGCGGTTCCTGCCACTGGGGCCTTCGGTTGAGCCCCCTATGGGGCCACGAAGCGTATGAGGGGTGTGCCAACATGGGCAGGGGGGCGCATGCGGATCCTGCCACTGGGGCATTCGGTTGAGCTCCCTATGGGCCCCCGAAGCCGGTGAGGGGTGTGCCGAAATGGCAAGGGGGATGCATACTGAACCTACCACTGCGGCCTTCGGTGGAGCTCCCATTGGGGCCGCGAAACGTGCGAAAGGTGTGCCGAAATGGGCGGGGGGGCACATTCGGACCCTGCCACTGGGGCCTCCATTAGAGCTCCATATGGGGCCACGAACCGTGTGATGGGTGTGCCACATTGGGCGGGTTGACGCATGCGGACCCTGCCACTCGGGCCTTCGGTGGAGCTCCCTATGTAGGAGGCCACGATCCGTGTGAGGGGTGTGCCACATTGGGCGGGTGGACGCATGCGGACCCTGCCACTGGGGCCTTCGGTGGAACTCCCCATGTAGGGGGCCGCGAAACTTGTGAGGGGTGTGTCAAATTGAGCGGAGTGACGCATGCGGACCCTGCCGCTGGGGCCTTCGGTGGAGACCTCTATGGGGCTACGAACCGCGTGAGGGATGTGCCGAAATAGGTGTGGCCGACGCATGTGGCCACACCAATTTGGACCTTCGGCGGAGCTCCTTATGGGGCTACGAAACCTGTGAGAGGTGGCCCCGAAGTGACATGCGGAGGGCAGATGCACTATGCTGACGATGCGGATGATTGCGATGGCGATGATGATGACGATGCTAATGGTGATGACGGCACGGGTGAGAGCAGAGGCAAGAATCGGAGGAGGGAGGTGGGGGAGGAGGTGTGAGGAATGGATGCGAGGTACTGTCTCTTCAAATCGAGGACCCGGAACGACAGGATGATTGGAACTCGAAATAGTTCTGAACAGTGTAACACAATAGATGTCACAGCATTGCTTGACATTCCTTGTCATTGTCTGACATTGCTCGAACTCGTTGCTTGGCTTTGCTTGGCACGGACACGAGTTCACTGGAATCGTTGCCTGGCATTTTGGCATCGTTATTTGGTGTTGTTTGGCATCGCAAGGCTTCGCTTTGCCTTGCTTTATGTTGCTTTGTATTGCTTGGCACTGCTTGGATTAGCTTGGTATTGCTTGGCCTTGTGTGGCACTCCTTGTCATTGATGTGCATTGCTTGGCATTGCGCGGCCTTGCTTGGCACCGTCTGCTTGCACTGCTTGGCATTGCGTGGTGTCGTTTTGCATTGCTTGGTGTTGCTAAGCTGTGGTTGCCAATGTTTGACATGTATTGGCTATGCTTGGCATTCCCTGTCACTGCGCTGCATTACTCGGCATCGCTTTGCATTGTTTGGCGTCGTTCGGCGTTGCTTCACACTGGTTGCTACTGTTTGGCTTTGCTTGCCGTTGCTTGACATTCCTGAGCTTCCCTTATCATTTGTTTGGCATGGCGTGGCGGTGTTTGGCATTGCATTGCGTGACCTCGCTTTGCATTGCTTGGTTGTGCCTGTTATTGCTTGTCATTGCTGTTCATTGCTTGGACTGCTTTTGAGTTGCTTGAAATGTCCTGGCATTTCTTGGCATTGCTCGGCATTGCTTGGCGTTTCTCGGCGGTCCCTGGCATTGTTTGGCATTGCTTCGGATCATTGCTTGGTATTGCTTGGCAATGCGTGGTATTGCTTGGCATTTTGTGGCATTACTTGACATCTTGATATTGCTTGGTGTTGATTGGCATTGCGCAACCGTGCAACACTTTATTTTTTGGCGCTTCTCAAGCGGGCAACCGTGGGAACGACACAACCAGGGGAAATTCCGAGACGCACAAAACAATTGGACCACCGGGCAACCCATGGAATCCCGGGGGCCACCTCTGAGATTGACAAGTTGAAGCAACTAGTTTCTCCACCGCAACGCTTAGGCGCACTCGAACTTAGAAACGAATCATCAAATCCTGAAGAAGCGCCCTCCACACACATAGGCGTTATGAACATGCCTGCTATGAACTCCCCGTAAGCACTGGGTACCTCAACGCCTTCTAGCGGTCCTTACGGGACTATGTTCCCTGCGTCCTTCTGGATATCCCTGCCTCCGCTGCCTGCCAGCCGTCGCCAACTCCCCTGCGCTCATGCGTTCCACAGTGTATCATCGCTGTTTTCCCCGCAACCCTTGCCTTCTGGGTTCGGTGCTGGGCTGCTTATGAGAGAACTGAGATCGAAAGAGCAACGGATGAAGGCAGGGGTGGCTCTCATCCTTCGACGTGAAAGGAAGCCCGGATTCTCTCGTATAGCATACTTGCCATCCCCACCCTCTGTCATCGTCCAACTCCTTCATATTCGGCAGTGGAACTTTATCTTGTCCGCTAGCGGCCGATCCACAAGAACTCAGCACATGACTGGGATTTCATGCCACGCGGAAGCGTAAGCAAAGGCGGATAAAATCCGCCACCGTGCCATCAGCACTGGGTGGAGTTTTCTCAGGTCCTTCTCGTGTTCTGTGCCTGGTATTGACAGTGCTCTTCAACGGGCCCAGAGCCCCAGCTCAGGGCTTGCCGCATGACTCTCGCTTCCAAAGGGCTCCCAAGAGTTCCCCAAGAGGCCCCAAGAAGCCTCCAAGACGCCCCCAAGAAGCACCCAAAGAGACCACAATCAATATCAAAGAGGACGCTCATAACCCAGGCAAGGTGGCAGAGCGGGCCGAAGGCCAATAGAACGGCCGCCCCCTGGCGCTTGCAAGAGGGTTTATTGGCGCGCCGCGACCTTGACTTGTTCTGAAATTCCACACGATCCCCAATGGCTTCTGGCTCAAACCGCCCGACAGCCAGAAAATAACCAAGCCTCCCAATGGTCCCAAACAGGCGTTTCGCCTGAGACATCTTCACAACATGGCCAAGATCACTCCTCGATGGCGACGGCCCCAAGACACCTCCAAGACGTCCAAGATGGCCCCAAAAGAGCCCAAGGTGGCCCCATGAAGCCTTCAAGACGGCCCAATATGAAGCCAAGATGGTTTTACACGGCCCCAAATATGCTCAACATTACTCCAAGAGCCCCTCCAGGATGCTAGTAATTATGTCTGTTCCTTACGT